CCTGGGAGTAGGCAGCTGTAAGACAATGTTTAGTAAAAACATGTTTACTAAAAATGATACAATAAGTTCCTGGGAAAGGCCTTCCCACGGAAACCGCCCTGACCTCGACCTTGTCCAGAGACTAACCGCACCTTCAAAAACCCACACACATCCACCTCTGGTGTCAGAGCAGAACCAGCCAGGGTAGAGGAGAGAGCAGAAGCTTCTCTGGTGGGAGCTTTTCTTAGGAAGTTTTTCTTGAACCTTTTTGGAGCCTGTTTAAAGTTTTCTTTATATCATTGAACGAGTCTCTGTGTTGTCAATACCCGACACCCTCCGCACGTTCTCGGACACAGGCCGCGCAGCAGACGTGACAATTGGAGGTTCCACCGAGATGTGAAAGCGAGGTAAGTGGATGGGGTCGTCCCTTTTGCCAGCCAGGGACAGATGAGGGAAAATAGGAAAAAAATGATGGGAAATAGTCCCTGGAAGTTTAAATTACAGTATCACATAAAAAAGTTACTTGGAGAACAGGGGACTATAACCATGGAAGGCTTTCTAAAATGGATTGAACGTGCAAGTCCATGGTTCATTATTGGGGGAGGCTTAAATGTCCCAGATTGGGAGGATGTTCGCCATGATTTTCAGAGAGCCGGTTGTGGTGGCACACGCCGGTAGGATTTGCTGAAGGAGGCAGAGGCAGGAGGATCACGAGTTAAGAAAAGAAAAGAAAAAAAAAAGGGTAAAATAAGAAATAAAATAAAAAATCTCCAGTCTTTCGCCTGATCCACTGAGGTCAGGAAAGTAAAGGGGAACTGAGAGATCTAAAAGGCTGGCCAGTAAGGCTATGCGGATGTGTTACAAAGGGGTCCCAAGCTAGGGGTACTGGATTAAATCTCCAGGCCTTCACCTGACCCAGGTCAGGAAAGTAAGGGGACCCTGAGAGATCACCCTAGGTTGGAGGGTGGATTGGATTAAATCTCCAGGCCTTCGCCTGACACCAAGGTCAGGAAAGAAAGGGGAACCTGAGAGATCACCCTCAGTTGGAGGATGGATTAAAAGTGGGTGAATTGAAAATTGGTAACGGTTAATAAAGGAGGTACTGGTATTAAGTAAAAGAAAAAGACAAAGGTATATGGAATGGAAATTTTTGTTTACATTTAAGTTCTATTTTGTGAGTCATCTCTAAAAACTTTTGGCCAAAAGCCTGGCCTCTCCACCTTGCATCTACAGAGTTACAAGGAGTAGGTACAGCTGTACCCCATGACTGTAGCTCAAATGGAGGAATGATAAAGAACATACAGGACTTTTTAACCCTTTTAGTTCAAGGATTGGCTGGAGTTGTTCTTTTACATAGATTTCAATTAAGGAAGCTTCATTGCAACAGACTAATCATGACCTAGGGAAAAAGGATGACTAAAAGATGCATGTATGTTCTAAATGTATGGTGTGGCCACACCGGTATGTATGAAATGTGATTGTGAATGCGTGAGTGTGAACTGCTTATATGATTAAAAGGATACTTAAATCCCTTCAAAAATAGTTAAGAAGCTACCTAGATTGCTTTAAATATAGCCAAAAGGAACATCCAGCCAGTCTGTTAATGTTTTAATAAAAAAAAATTTAAGATACAAATGAGGCCTTGTCAGCTAGTGAGAGCTCTACAGGTTAGATTGGGAAAGACTGCTCACAGACTTCAAATAATTTTCAAAAGTATAGTTTACAATCTTTGAGTGATTTTCAGAAGTTTTTGGGAAATATTCAAAGGATATGTCCTTTTTAATGGACATCTACAAATAATCTAAGTAGTAATCCCAATTTACTGAGATAGTCAACCAAGGAGGGTAGACAAATCCTTCTACTGTTATGGTCCAGCTTCAACAGTTCAAAAAAAAAACTTTTTTTTTAGAAAATAAAAAAGGGGGAATAATGTCCCCAGTCCCCACATGACTCATCAAATAATACACTCCTCATTTAAAAATTTTATAATGTGAATGCCAGTGAGCTTCAGACAGATTCTGGCATGATGGAACTTGAGCAACCATTGCTCAGGTCAAATGGAGACATCCATGCACTAGACAGTGGAGAAGACCCTAATTTGGGGTCAAGGGCATGTTTGTGTTTTCTTGCAGGAAAAGAATAAAGCTTCGACAACTGTCAGACCATTTAGTGAGATGCATGGAGCAGAGAAAAACTTGACCTGAGACCATGGGAGCCTACCTAAGCCAGTTTGAGTGAGATCTCCTAAATCAGTGTTCCTGACCCTTGATGTCATCGAATCTACAGCCCATGAAAAAAAAAAAAAAACAGTCGGTTCGAGATTTCCAGTTTCTCAACAGACCTGCTGCATCAACCTTCCGGACCCATGAGTTTTCATCATGAAGCCAACAGAGAAAAAAGGACCCATTTAAAGCATTTGGACATTGGTATGGACTATGATGAGTGGCAAAAGCCTCTTTTCAGTATTTAAACAGGACATGGTCACTTGAAATATCAGACTTGATGGTTCCTGTTTCTAGAATCACGACTAGGCCATTATATTTTTCTGGAGAAATGCAACTTGTCCTAATGTGACAACTATTGTTCATATTTTTCATAATGCTACATGTGTAACATCAATGATTGTGCCCAATGTATCTGTGCAAGTGCACTTTCTAAATGCTTTCCTGAGCAGATCTTGAAACGATTGGAAACTTTATCAAATTGTAAATGTAAATCACATGCGGGTTACCCTGGTAGAATGTTATGGCCCAGATCTGGTGATGGGTATGGTAATGGAGAGGCGCTATGTCAATGGGGGTCCTGGAAATGGTGACAGTGGCAGTAGGCATTCTGGCTTTATGCCGAGCTCAAACGTGCCTTGTTCCAGAGGCAAGAGATCCGTAACCAAGTATTGCTTAGCTTAGCCCATGGCAATCCCGATAGCCATGAAGGTTGGTTACAGATGATTTAAGGTTGGGGTATCTCCGATGACGGACAACCTGTGGGGAAGACCCCTCCCACCTAAAACAGGGGTTCAAGGTCCCCCAAAGACGGGAAAGGAAGGGTGACCCTACTTGACCTAAGCCAGGAGTGCCTCATTTGAAAATAAAAAGGGGTGAATTGTGGGAACACCAGACCTTGAGCAGAGACCCACTTCCCCTTCTGCCTGGGAGTAGGCAGCTGTAAGACAATGTTTAGTAAAAACATGTTTACTAAAAATGATACAATAAGTTCCTGGGAAAGGCCTTCCCACGGAAACCGCCCTGACCTCGACCTTGTCCAGAGACTAACCGCACCTTCAAAAACCCACACACATCCACCTCTGGTGTCAGAGCAGAACCAGCCAGGGTAGAGGAGAGAGCAGAAGCTTCTCTGGTGGGAGCTTTTCTTAGGAAGTTTTTCTTGAACCTTTTTGGAGCCTGTTTAAAGTTTTCTTTATATCATTGAACGAGTCTCTGTGTTGTCAATACCCGACACCCTCCGCACGTTCTCGGACACAGGCCATGCAGCAGACGTGACAACAGGGTTTCTCTGTATTGTTTTGGAGGCTGTCCTGGAACTCACTCTGTAGACCAGCCTGGCCTCGAACTCCCAGAGATCCACCTGCCTCTGCCTCCCGAGTGCTGGGATTAAAGGCGTGCGCCACCAACGCCCGGCTCAGCACGCTGGTTTGCTTGTGTCACCTGGACACAATCTAGAGTCACCTGGGGCAGTGTCTCAGTGGGGACTTATCTTGATTACATTAACTGAAGTGGGGAGATGATCAGCCTACACCTGGGCTGTCCGTTTCCCCAGGAGGGGGCGCTGAACTGTGTAGAATGGGAAGGCCAGGCTGGAGATGGCTCCGAGGTGAAGGGTGATCTGTCATGAAGAGGAGAACAAACTCCAACAAATACGAGCTCTCCCTGGCCCTCTTGGCCACACACACACACACACACACACACACACACACACACACACACGTATGTGCACACACATGTATGTGCACACATACACACATCTCTTGGGCAGGGGTGAATGAGTGAGCACCATCACACGTGCAGGAATTCATTGTTCTTGACTGCGGTTGCAATATGGCCAGGTCTTTAAAGTTCTTGTTCCTGTGACTTCCCTGCTGTGATGGACAGTGCCCTGGGATAATGCGCTAAAATAAACATCTTGCCAGGTATAGTGGTGCACACCTTGATCCTTGCATTTGGGTTTTTGTTGTTTTGTTTGTTTTTCCAAGACAAGGTTTCTCTGTGGCTTTGGAGGCTGTCCTGGAACCAGCTCTTATAGACCAGGCTGGTCTCGAACTCACAGAGATCCGCCTGCCTCTCCCTCCCGAGTGCTGGGATTAAAGGCGTGCGACACCAATGCCTGGCTGATCCTTGCATTTGGGGTTAAGAGTTCTGTGAGTTTGGTGCCGACCTGGTCTACAGAGTGAATTCAGGACAGCCAGGGTTACATAGACCTTGTCTTAGTAAATAAATGCTTCTCTTGAGTTGCTTTTGCTGGAGTATTTTGTCGGAGCATCAGGAAAGGAAAGAAACAGGACAGGTCTTTCTGGGTTCCTTCCCCAAGACAGGATACTAGGGCCCAGAGTGGCTGTGGATGGTGGACATTCTGACCTGGCTGTTCTGGTGGTGTTACCCACGTCAGAGTGTTGCCCATCTCTCTCCTCCTAGCCAGCCTCTCCCCCACCACAATAAGCCCACACCTCATTTAAGGCCCCTGGGACACCATAGTGCCAGCCAAGCCCTGGACACTTTTCTCTTACTAGTGCTGGCCCTGTGTGCTGTTCTCTTACTGCAAATCTGATACTGTTGTCAATCATAATGTAAATATCTGGTGTGAAGGGTATCCGATATGTGGTCCCTATGAAAGGGTTGTTTGGCCTCCAGAGGGGATAGGACCCCCAGGTTGAGAGCCACCGTTCTAAGGGTCAGAAAGGTTCAGGCCAACTGCGTGGAGAAACTCTGGTTCTCCCAGGGCCTGGGCACTCCTGTCCAGGGTATACAGGTGAAGTCAGCAGCAGGCGTGATACCACCGGCAGGAGTATGGGACTGTCCAGGGACCTCAACGGACTGCTGGTCATCCCGCAGGACAGTCCTGGGGACAGCCTCACTGCGGTGTCAACAAGTTTTCAGGAGATACGAAGGGACAGTCTGCAGTTTCAAGGGCAACACAGAATGGGGGGACTGGGGTCATGCAGATGAGAGCACAGAATGGGGAGGACTGAGCCACGCAGATCAGAGAGGCAGAATGATGCTGAATTCAGTGCGCTAACCTCACCTGGTGGCCAAGCCTCTGCCCCACACCAAGTCATCTGCTGTCCTAAGCTCTTAGCGTGCGGTGTGGGCCACGGCCCAGGGGAAGAGGCGATTCCGTGTGCGTGCAGTTCTCTGGTAGCTAACCCTTACCATGAGCACAGCCGTCCCAGGGCTCGGGCCACCAGAGTATGGGATGTAGCATGTGGGCTGTTTGAGTTCTCCTGTGTGCGGGGCTCAGACTCTCCCTGTCCTGACAGACCCGTGCTTCACCCCTGAACATCACACAAGAAAGTGTGTATGTGGCATGCACACCTGTGATCCCAGCACTCGGGAGGCAGAGGCAGGTGGATCTCTGTGAGTTCGAGGCCAGCCTGGTCTACAGAGCGAGTTCCAGGACAGTCAGGGCTATACAGAGAAACTCTCAGAAAACTAAATTAAAAAAGAGGAGGAAGCTGAGCGGTGGTGGCTCACGCCTTTAATCCCAGCACTCGGGAGGCAGAGGCAGAGTTCGAGGCCAGCCTGGTCCAAGACAGCGAGTTCCAGGACAGCCTCCAAAACCACAAAGAAACCCTGTCTCGAAAAAAAAATAAACAAAAAAAAACAAAAAACAAAAAAAAGAGGAGGGGGAGGAGGAGGGGGAGGAAGAGGAGGAGGGGGAGGAGGAGGGAGAGGAGGAGGAAGCGTGTCCACTGGTGACAACCCCAGCACTCAGGGTCTCGGGCAAGCAGTGGAAGACTGCCAAGGCTGCCAGTGCGACCTGGTGGGGATGGGTGTGGCCCGTTTAAAAGTTTAAAAGAGAACGCAGAGCCAGCTGTGGTGACAGCGACTTTAATCCCAGCACAATGGGGTGAGACACTGAATACTAAGTCACAGAGGAAAGATTGTTCTAACAGAACGGGGGTGGGCAGCCTCCACCTCACCTGTAAATGGAAATTAGGCTTACGGAGTGCCGGTACGCGTTACCCTTTGAATACGCGCTAAATGGATGCGTTTCTTGGGTGGGGGATAACATAGGAAGGAGGTCTGGGTTTTTGTTGTTGTTTTGTTAACTTTTTTGAGATAGGCTCTCCCTATGTAGCCCTGGCTGTGGTCTGCTATACAGACCAGGCTGGTCTCAAACTCAGATCTTCAGCCCCTGAGTACAGAATTAAGAGGAGCGTGCCACCAGACCTGGCAAGAGTGAGGGTTTTTAATGAGAATCCGAGGTCTTGTGGCTGCAGAGCAGGGACAGTGGGGGCCACGCAGCGTGGAGGCCGGTCGGGGTCGGACTCTGGATCACAGCATTTCTCAGTGTTCTAGGCAAAACCACCCTGCGGAGCGCCCCCTGGGCCACCTCCATTAATTCACCAAGTACCTGCAAGGCTACTGGTGTCTACTGGAGACCCCGAGAGCTGCGCGCCTTCTGGGGTTGGATGTCGGCCTGGCAGCTCTGGGCAGCAGCTGCGTCACCCTGCACATGAAGAACGGTAACTGGACTGTTCCTGCGCCACAGGCCTGCTCCCCGCCGTGGACCCCTCCTCCCGCCGTGGACCCCTCCTCCCCTCCTCCCTCCCTGGACCCCTCCTCCCGCCGCGGACCCCTCCTCCCGCCGTGGACCCCTCCTCCCTTCCTCCCTCCCTGGACCCCTCCTCCTGCCGTGGACCCCTCCTCCCTTCCTCCCTCCCTGGACCCCTCCTCCCGCCGTGGACCCCTCCTCCCTCCGTGGACCCCTCCTCCCTCCCTGGACCCCTCCTCCCTCCGTGGACCCCTCCTCCCTCCGTGGACCCCTCCTCCCTCCATGGACCCCTCCTCCCTCCGTGGACCCCTCCTCCCTCCGTGGACCCCTCCTCCCCTCCTCCCTCCGTGGACCCCTCCTCCCCTCCTCCCTTCCTCCCTCCGTGGACCCCTCCTCCCTTCCTCCCGCCATGGACCCCTCCTCCCGCCGTGGACCCCTCCTCCCCTCCTCCTTCCATGGACCCCTCCTCCCTCCGTGGACCCCTCCTCCCTCCATGGACCCCTCCTCCCCTCCTCCCTCCGTGGACCCCTCCTCCCTCCGTGGACCCCTCCTCCCTTCCTCCCTCCGTGGACCCCTCCTCCCTCCATGGACCCCTCCTCCCCTCCTCCCTCCGTGGACCCCTCCTCCCTCCGTGGACCCCTCCTCCCTTCCTCCCTCCGTGGACCCCTCCTCCCCTCCTCCCTCCGTGGACCCCTCCTCCCGCCGTGGACCCCTCCTCCCTCCGTGGACCCCTCCTCCCTCCGTGGACCCCTCCTCCCTCCATGGACCCCTCCTCCCCTCCTCCCTCTGTGGACCCCTCCTCCCGCCGTGGACCCCTCCTCCCGCCGTGGACCCCTCCTCCCGCCATGGACGGGCCCCACAAGCTCTTCCCAGTCTCCTACGCCGCACGCTGTGTCTTGTTCGCACGGCCCTAAGACGTTCCGGCACTTTTGTGAGAGCCACCACCTGTCCCCACGCCCATGCCCTCCTCGGCCCACAGCCCACAGCCTCCCACGTTCCTGCAGGGTTCCTTGTCCAGAGACTAACCGCACCTTCAAACCCACACACATCCACCTCTGGTGTCAGAGCAGAACCAGCCAGGGGAGAGGAGAGAGCAGAAGCTTCTCTGGTGGGAGCTTTTCTTAGGAGGTTTTCTTGAACCTTTTTGGAGCCTGTTTAAAGTTTTCTTTATATCGTTGAACGAGTCTCTGTGTTGTCAATACCCGACACCCTCCGCACGTTCTCGGACACAGGCCACGCAGCAGACGTGACACAGGAACACCTTCCAAGTTTCATTGCTGATGGCTCACTGGGCATTCCCACGCCTACCCAATGCTCCATGGCTCGCTTCTGGTTCGAGCAAGGGTACTAAGGGAGATCGTGACACCTGCGTGGGCTGAGAATGGGCTGGGGGCTCCGTACCTGTGGCCCCTCCCTGGGCAGCGGTTCAAGCATCACGGTGATTGCAGGGAGCAGATGAAGGGTTGTTCCTACACCTCCACCCCCCCACTCCCCGCCCCTCCACCCCCCACACCCCCACCCCCCCACCCCAACGATGTTTGGCCCTTGGATATCTACCAATGCTGCCTCTGGGATTTCTGCAAAGACCCAGCAAACAGGAAGGAAACTGCGCACAAGGACACCGGGAACCTCTGTTGTGTCCAGCCCCTCTCGGGATTCTCATCTGGACCCAGGCAAGACCACCTCAAAGCTCTCAAGGCAGCCACCCCGGCCTCTCCTCCTCCTCATACCCCGCTCTGCGACCTTCTTTCCCCAGCTCCCCCTCCCGTCCGAAGTCCCCGGGTGTTCCTGCTATGATAAAGCTCGAGGGGAACCTTGTTGGAGGGCCTTGGCGGCGGATTCCATGTCGATCGCGGGTGACCGAGGCGGAGGGACAAACGCGCCAGGCAGACAGAGCTTAAGAGAGAAGTTTTATTAGAAAAGGGAGGGAGGCGCCGGCCTCCGGGTCTGAGAAGAGCGGGAGGAGGTGGCAGCCTCGGGAAGACGTCTCGATCCGGCTCGACCTCCGGCTCGGGCTCGCGCACTAGCACAGGCTCAAGCAGCGGCTCTAGCTCCTCCTCTGCACCCGGCCGCTCAGGGGGCTCCAGCACCTCCCGAAGCTCCAGTTTCTGGCAGCTCTTCCGGCTCCCCAAGCCCTTCTCGGCGCGCAGACGTGACATCAGGAGGCGTTCCCGCTCCAAATCCAAACCACCCAAAAGAGATGAAAAGGAGAGGAAAAGGCGGAGCCCTTCACCCAAACCCACCAAAGTGCTCATTGGGAGGCTTTCCAGCAATGCGACCAAGGATCATATCCTGGAAATGTTTCCTACTTACGGGAAAATTAAAATGATTGACATGCCCGTGGGAAGGATGCATCCCCTTCTATCCAAAGGCTACGCATATGCGGCGTTTGAGGACCCAGAAGAAGCAGAGAAGGCACTGAAACCCATGGATGGGGAGGACAAACCGATGACCCAGAGATCACCGCTGCTGCTGGGTTGGCACCCTGGCCCCCGCCACCCCCTCGGGGATTCGGCCCACCCAGGAGAATGCTTCCGCGGCCTCCCAGGTGGCGCAGGTCGCCCCCACGGATGAGGAGGAGGTCTCCATCCCCAAGGCGCAGGTCCCCTGTGCGTAGGAAGTCTGGCTCTCCCCGCCACCGCCGCCACTGGAGCCGCTCCAGCTCTAACTCCTCCGGATAAGCAGGGACATCGGCTCGTAGCTCGGTAACTTACGTTCCCCCAGCTCAGTTTTGTCCTTTCTCTAGCCAAATGCGGATCCGTCGGGAAGGATCCCCTACCAGGGTGGTCTGTGAAGAGAGCAGCAGTTGAGATATTTCCTCGTCAGGAGGATTCTGGCTGCAGAGGTACCTCTGTTGATTCGGGACTGCGTCCATAGAGGTACCCCTAGTTTTCCGGCTAGAAAGTTCGCCGCTTCCGGTCCTTGAAAGTACAGCTGGCCGCAGAGACAGCTGCCACAAGCAAAGGCATCACACCGTTTTCCACAGACGACCGAGGACCAGGCAGACGACCTGGTCACCGCCTTGCGTGGCTGTGCCACATCTGCAGACAGGGGACCAAGCGGCTGTGCTGTCAGGTGTCACCGTGTCTCTATCCCCTGTCCCCACGTCCCCGTTACTCTCTGAAGTCGGTGAGCCAGTTAGTTCTACCGGGGCCTGGTGGAACCCGCCCCCCCCATTATCACCTACCCCCCCCATTATCACCTACCCTCCGTGATGATGTTGCAGTTAACCTGGGCAACGTACACACTGCCCCATTTTTGCTTTTGTTGTTACTTTTTTTTTTTTTTTTTTTTTTTTTTTTTAGTTTTTCGATACAGGGTTTCTCTGTATTGTTTTGGAGCCTGTCTTGGAACTCGCTCTGTAGACCAGGCTGGTCTCGAACTCACAGAAATCCGCCTGCCTCTGCCTCCCGAGTGCTGGGATTAAAGACGTATGCCATCAACACCGGGCCCGTTTTTGCTTTTATTGTACAGTCAGTACTGCAAAATTTGCTTTGAGTTTTATAACTTTGTGGCATTTTAGATAAGGTCGTGTTTGTACTTGTATAGAGTGGAAGGATTGTGTTGAATAAACCTAGGATCAGAACACAAAAAAGGGGGGGAAGGGAGAGGAAAGAGAACAGAGGTGAAGAGACACAGGGACAGAGAGAGGGGACAGAGAAAAGACAGACAGAAAAAGTCCCGTCTGCCCCAGGGGAACCGAGGGAAGAGAAGAGAGCAGGGGCGGGGGGTTGGAAAGAGCATAAGTGGGCGGGGATCTTTCATTTTTTCATCTTATTTATTGGTTTTTGTTTTGTTTTCGAGACAGGGTTTCTCTGTATTGCTTTGGAGGCTGTCCTGGAACTCCCTCTGTAGACCAGGCTGGCCTTGAATTCACAGAGATCCCCCTGCCTCTGCCTTCTAAGCGCTGGGATTACAGGCGCCATCAGCACCCGCCCAGCTGGTCTTTCTTTTAAAGGGGTCCTTTGCACCTGCCTGCAGACTACAGTAGTCACCGAACCCTGGGCTGACCAGGGTACTACCTGAGTGCATTCTGCCAGGTGACTGGGCAAGCCGGCTTAATGCCTGAATCCTCACAGCTCCCCCCAAGTAAACTAGTATGCCAAGTGTTCAGTTTGTCTCTTGGACAAGGTGAAGGCCTTGGAAACTGGGTCAGACTGTCCTGTACTGCCCTACCTTGTCGTCTCTAACCAAGGAAGCAGATGCCCTTACATGGTGAAGGAAGGCGGGGTCGGTTAGGTTAGTAGGTGGCGGTGTCAGATCAGAGCTCCGTGGGGAGAACTAAGAGGCCGTGTGGGCAATATATGGAACAAGGTTGACCCAGGAAGGAAGGGTGTCTGTAGGGCACTAGGGAGGAGGCAGTGAACTCTAGGGACAAGGAACCTTGTTTTCCAACTCCCAGGGTTAGTGTCTCTTCCTAAACCTGTCTCTCTTGCAGTCTGACCAGTTAGGGCAGTGTAAGTTTTTTCTTAGGTGTGTGTGTGTGTGCTGTATAACCCTTACCGGCCTCCAACTCCAGATTCTCCTTATGTGTCGATCTGTTCCGTGTACCCAGGAAGGGGCGTGAAGGCAGCACCCACCGGGTGCTTGGCAAGGTTACAAAGCGGGTTGCTCGCATGGTGGCTCATGCGCTTACACTCGGCACTCAAAGGCTGAGGCAGCATGGCCTTGCGATCGAGGCCAGCCTGATCACAAAAGCCAAAAGGAACCGGAATTTCCGTGTACCGCCTCTGTCCATGAGCACGCACACCTGGGCATCCATCGACTCTACTCGTGAGGCGCCGGCCTCCAGCACAGGTGATCACCTCAGGCCACGCAACTGACTCACGGGGCGACACACCTGGGCCTGCAGCCCGCTAGCACCGACTCTGCTCACCTGAGAGAGTGTGCCGGCACTTAAAGCCTGGCTGATGCGTTGGATGGACAGAACAGATGGACGCCTAAGTACCCACGAGGGCTTTCCCTGTGCCTGAAAGTCTCCAATACTTATTATTGCTTGAGACAGATCTATCATGTAGCCCTGGCTGTCCTGGCACTCACTCTGTAGACCAGGCTGACCTCACTCAGAGACCTGCCTGCCCCTGCCTCCCAAGTGTAGGATTAAAGGTGTGCACCACCACTGCCTGACCAAAATTTTTCAATATTTAGTGTGATCGCACCTATAATAATCCTAGCTCTTGAAAGAGGTAGAGAAGGAGGGTCAGGAGACCTCATCTTAAAAAAATCCCAAAGTACTAAAATGAAGACTTGACAGCTGCAGCCTCTAGCTCGATGCATATACTGCGAGGTGCCAGGACTCTTGAGATGAACCAGGTTGCTCAGTGCACGTGGGTGTGGACTTGAGTTTCTCCTCAGGTGAAAGCCTAGCACCACGTGGGCTAATATTCCAGGTTTTGAAGATTACATGTGGGGAACCTGTCTTCGTGCTTTGGCCTTCAGCTGAGCAGGGGGAGAAGGCTGTGGCCTTTCAGGGTAATTTGAGGAAGCCATAAAGACCAAATACAGTGGGGAAGATTTAGCAATCCTGTTGGAATCCCACACGTGTATCTTTGACCTGGATTTGCCCACATCTGAAGCTGAACCTCCCCACCGCCCACACAACGGGTTTAGCCCAGTGTTGGTTTATTGTGGAGGGAACAAGGGCTCATGGCTAAACAGAATAGCCCCCGGCCCCCACCAGGCATGGAGTTGGGCGAAGTGAGGTCAGGGAGACGGCCGACAGGTCGCCACACCAGGAAATGGGCACAGAAGCCCACCCTTTGCCCTTCCTGCCGTAGCCTGGCACCGAGGCTCAGCGCTTAAGACAGGATGAAGAGCCAGTTCTGAGAGGATGTGGCACAGGACCAGACTGAGGGTCCGTGAAGACAGTGACACTCATGAAGCCATACCTCTCTTCGACAGGAGGAGGCAAGCCAGCGCCCGCACCCAGGGACCCAGGTGCCGTCTGGAAGCTGGGGATATGGAGGAGCAGCCTAGGAGACCACAGGGACCAGAGTCGGGTGCTCCAGGACTGCAGAGCAGAATCTGGGAGGGGGAGCGGGTCGGGGTCTCGTCTGGGGGAAGAAGCGTAAGTCCTAAGCTGCTAGGGAACAAGTACGTTTGGTGCAGGTCAGCAATGGGCACGGCCAGCTCCCGGGCAGGGTGACATGGGCTGGGCACTCGGGTACTTTATGAGCAAGCTATGCAAGCCAGGCGGGGGCTCAGACAGGGCCAAGGCCAGATGTCTTCTCGGGGACCCAGGCAGAGCTCTGGCGCTGGGCACTGGACCGAGAGTTGCAGCAATGTACCGACAGCGGTCAGCCTTACACTAGTAGTCTGGGAGATCAGTGATGCACTTTTCTTTACCGCGGAAGGAACTGTACTGTCACAGCCTCGTACACTTAACACCCCGAGGGGAGGGGCCAGCTATGACCCCCTGGTAATAGCTTCCCACAGCCCCCAAACCTCACTTTCCCCAGCGTTCATGCAGACCAGATTTTTCCTATGTGCTCTCAGAAGAGGCTAAAGTGTTCACACACTCGTCTCGTCTGCACACACCCCCTTCCACGATCCCGACAACCCTCACGGACAGAGACAAGCCACACTTCTGCCAGCAGCCCTGTCCCTGGACTTTCCGTGGTAGATGGTGCTAACCACACCTGGGGATTAACTGCTGACGGTGCACTTTTCTGACTGGAAATGAAGCCCACCGAAGGGTCTTCCAAGAGACCCAAGAGGCAGGCACGGATCAGCACCAGGTGATTGGTGCACAGACCCGGGCCCCGGGCCTCTCCTTCCCGGTTCAGTCCCCCTTCCTCCCAGACCTTGGCCCACGTCAAAGCCCACCACGGTCAGCAGGCCTGCAGGCACACGGCCTTCATTGTGGGACTCTGGAGAAGAGGAACAGCTCCTGTGGAATACCCCAAACCCCACCTTCCTGGGAGCAAACCCCTTAATCCTCAGAGGCAGAACCGCCTTGACAGGCAGCCTGGGCGGAAACTGCTGTGCTCCCGCCGGGAAGAAGCTACCAACTGGCAGGAAGGCAGGCACGTCCTCACCCACAAGGCCTGGTTCCCATGTGGGCCGCGGCTTGGTGTCTGTCTGGGCACTACCTGCTGTCCACCTACACCACAGGGAGAGGTTAGCCAGAGCCTCCCACCCTCCCAGATGGACTGCTTAGCTCTCGGGGCAGGGGGCACAGGATAGCAGAGCAACAGTTATGGCTCTCTGCCTTCCCTGCAGCTCTGCTTACTTAGGATGACATTCCCTTCAACAGCAAACCCAGAACACTTCTCATGAAGTCCCACAGTAGAAACACAGTCACAGCCCAAAGAGCCCAGACGTCTCTCTGGCCTTTGAAGTCTTTCTTCCCAATCCTGTACTCGCCCCTTCCCAATCCCGAATGCTGCTGATACATTTAACGACTAACATCACCGAATCCGAGAAGCCGTACTCTTTTCCCCGGGGGCGATGGACTAGGTTGTGCAGACCCTGGAGGCGGGCACACTGCCCCTCCCCCTCCCCCTCCCCAGCAACAAGCACCAGCAGACCAGTTCATGGCCTTTTCTTCCACTTTATTTCATGTTCTCACCACAATAGCAATTCCTTTCATTTAAACTAAAAACCATAGACTTCCTGGAGGGTGGCAGCAAAGGAACAGTGGTGTAAAGACGAGGGACAGGTGGGCGGGGACTCAGCGGATCGTCTTCACTGGGCTCTTGAAGTTGCTGGCGGCTTGGAGCTGTAGCTGGTAAGCCATTGGATGAATCTTGAAACCGTAGAGCCTGGGCCGGGCAGAGGTCAGAGAGGCAGCAGGTGAGCTACCTTCTGGCCCTGTCAGTGGCCGGCAGCCCACACTACCCCAGCCGCCTCCTCAATAGTTCCCCAGTTTTCCCACCTTCACTTGAAAAAGCACCCCCTGCCCCCTTGAGTTAAGGTTTCTCTGTGTAACAGCCCTGGCTGCCCTGGAACTCACAACTCACTCTGTAGACCAGACTGGCCTCAAACGCAAAGATCTGCCTGCCTCTGCCTCCTGAGTGCTGAGGTTGAAGGTGTGCGCCACCATGCCCAGTTTAAAAAGTATCTCTCTCTCTCTCTCTCTTTTTTTTTTGGTTTTTTTGAGACAGGGTTTCTCTGTAGCTTTGGAAGCTGTCCTGGAACTCACTTTGTAGACCAGGCTGGCCTTGAACTCACAGAGATCCGCCTGCCTCTGCCTCCCGAGTGCTGGGATTAAAGGCGTGCACCACCAATGCTTTTTTAAATGTGTATGAGTGCTCTGTCTGCATGTTCCTTTGCTTGCCTGAAGAGGGCATCAGATCTCATTACAGATGGTTGTGAGCCACCGTGTGGTTGCTGGGAATTGAACTCAGGACCCCTGGAAGAGCAGCCAGTGCTCTCAACTGCTGAGCCATCTCTCCAGCCCTCTTAAAAATGTATCTTAAGCCGGGTGTTGGTGGTGCATGCCTTTAATCCCAGCACTTGGGAGGCAGCGCACTTGCACACACACACCCCCCCAAACCAAACCAACAAAAACCCACACTGATAGTATAGCTCAAAGAGAGTCTGTGCTTAGCAGGCATGAGGCCCTTGGTTAAACCCCCAACCCACACAGGAAATTTCAAATCTGAGGAGCTACAGATTAGTACCTGTACAAATGTAATCTTTCTTCCCTGGCATATAGTAAAAGTAAGCCATACTGAGCCACAAAAACTCGAGCATCTAAGATGGCGGCAGCAGTGGCCACTGTTTAAGTAGCTACTGTCAGCACCCCTGCTCTATGCCTAAGAAAGCAGAGGCAGGAGCAATCAGGAAGTCCCCAGTCACTCAGCAGGAAGCAGCCCTGATTTGGGGAGAGGCAGGCCTCAAGGAAGGGCCGTTTGTCCTCAATTCTCCCAAGGTCTCGGATCGTGCTCTGACTCTGTGACCGTCTTGCTCCTCACCTGGGTACAAACTGGTTGGCAGGTCGTTTGGGCCGGTACTCCGGATGCACCATGAAGAGCATGTGAGGGAAACCAGTGCCGAAGTAGGCGCCGTCCGTGTGGTGGTGCCTGGACGACTTGGGTGTGTACACGTCCATGCACTTGGGGCAGTACAGTTTCACCATGGCCTCGCCTGGGATGTCCGAAAGGCCTGGGACACAGCAGACCCTGCAGACCCAGTCCCAACGCCCCCAACCTCCCAGTCTCAGGCACTGCCACATCAACCTGGCTTTCAGGAGGACTGCCAAGCAGTGCCCTCCTCCCCCTTTCCACACTCACCGATGGGAAGCATCGGCTGGTTCTCGCAGTACACACGAGGGCAGTAGCCAAAGTCTCCCTGCTGGTACTTTTCCAACTGAGGTGTGCAGAAGGAAGAGACAGTGAGAGAGTGTTAGAGAGCTCATTTCCCCACCCCGGCCTCCCACCTCTGACAGAAGCCCCTTCTGTGTCAAGAGAGGTTCTCAAGCTTCTCAACTGCTTTTCTCAAGTTGGCAGGCTGCAGAACACAGGGGCCATTTGTGATCTGTTCCCTGAAAACTCCTTCCTGTCCAAGGGTTCATCTCCCTCCCTGGAAACAATACCTTCAGCAGGACCCTCAGTGAGGATTCGATTCTCAGCCCAGCTCTGGGCTTCTCCTCGTCTCCTCTGCTAGACTCCTCGACAGGTACGCAACATGCCTTCTGCCTCACGCACCTGTTAGCCTCCCTGCCTCAGGAGCAGAGCCTCACCATTTGGGCGATGCCTCGGTTGGTGAGGATGTAGCGGGCGTGGATCAGCCCATAGAGCATCTCCGCTGCCTGTTCAATCAGGTCACTCTGGTTGGGGTTGTCTTCCAGCTCCTCATCTGAAAGGCGAGACGGCCACTTGTACCCCACCTCGTCCCCAAGGTGCCGCCTACAGTTTATCCAGCACCTGTTTCCGAGCCGCACCCTGTCCATCACCCGGCGGGAGCCCTGCCTTCTCTCCAGGCTCTGCCTGCCTCTCCCCTTCCCCGACACATAACCATAGACACAGACACGTCCAGAGTGGCACGAGACAGGCGGAGTCAAAGCAGCAGCATACAGAACCCTCCAGGAGACTGGCACTGGGAAGACCTGGAGCCACATCCCGAGGGCACGGAAACAAACAGTACGAGTCCCGCAAGGCAAGGGTCAGGTAAGGAATCAAGACAACGAAGAAGCCAAGCGTTGGTGTGTGTGCCATAATCCAGCACTTGGAGGCTAAGGCAGGAAGGGGTAAAGTCCAGTTTGGGCTATGAATGGAGGGGACGGAGGCGGGGAGAAAACACATTAACGAGCAAGGGACTCGGGAGCACACAGAAGAGCTGCGGAATCAAATTTAGAAATTCAACAAGCAGCTGGGCGGTGGTGGCCCATGCATTTAACCCCAGCACTCGGGAGGTAGAGGCAGGTGGATCTCTGCGAGTTCAAGGCCAGAGAGACCCTGTCTTTAAACACCAAAAACAGAAAAAAATCCAAGAAGCAAGCGAGCAGAGACCAGGATAAAAAGAAACCAGAGCGCATACAATGCACACCTCATCACCGACCCCACCACACTCAGCAACAGCAGCCCCGGGGGCGGGCACGTTACCAGGCTCCAGGTCCAGGATCATGTCCAGAGCTTGTCGATAGTGAGGCACCTGCTCGTTGAGTCCAGTAAGATTAAATTTGTCCTGGATGTAGTCCTCATCCACCTACCGGGATGGGAAGTCAGGAGGTTGGAACTTGTGTGGGAAGCCCCTAGGGTCTTCTGCCTGCATCAGCTCCCCCTGCTCCCCCATGGGCTCCCGCTGCTCCCAGTGCTGCAGAGGCACTCAGGGTCCCACAGAAACCATGGCTCTTCCCTTCCTGGGCTAACAAGGTACTGTGTGCAGACATCACTCCACTTCTCCCCCTCCTCTAAAGGAACGGGGTTCACTCTTTGCTCTGGGACATCAGACCCCCTGAACGGCACCGACAGCTTCCTACGTTAACACACTTCATGCTACATGCGACCTTCCCGTTTTCCTGATGGCCACCGGCAGGCACCTCTGTTAGCCACGCATAGAGGGACCAACCTTGGCAAGCCCCAGCCCTAGGGAGACTGAGGCCGTAGGACTGACTGCCAGGAGTTCAGGGCCAGCCTGGGCTACACAGTCAGCTTCGCGGGGAAATCTGATCGCAGGCGAAAACATCATCGAGGGCGCGTGGAGCTGGCCCAGGAAGGCCAGCTAAACTCACCTCACAGAAGAACTCATTACCACGGAGCCCACAGAACCAGGAGATCCAGGACACCTCCTCAGAGCTACTCATCTTAACGTCGGCTGAGGAAGAAGGGCGTTAGGTGGAGACCGGGCTGTCTCTGGGTCTCTTCCCTCCTCCCACACGCTCTCCTCCAGGGGCGGAAGGATCCGGGGCCCCTTGGGCGTTAGGTGGCCCCGGCCTGGAAGCAGCGCTCTCCACGCCTCTCTCCTTGACCTCAGCCACCCCCCCCCCCGCTTCGGCGCCGTGAGAACGAGTTCCGCGGCTTCCCCCAAGGTGACAGGTCCCGATCTATCAGGGCCACCCCGGTCCCCGGCGTCCCCGCAGGCCGGGCCCCGTCCCCCGCATGCCGCCGGCGGCTCCCCGACCACCGCAGGTGCCCGCACTTGGCTGGCGCCCGGCCCGAGGCTTCCGAAGTTCGCCCTCCGCGTCAGAGCCGGGTCCCCCCGCGGCCCTCACGGCGCTGGCCGGAGCACCGCACTCCTGGGGGCTTCAGGGGCGTCCCCGCTCGCCGCCTCCCCCTCCTCGGGCCACCCACCCTCCCTCCCTTCTTCGGCTCCCGACCCGGTCACTTCCTTCCTCGCCCCCACATCTAGGGGCGCAGAAGCGAGCGCCGCGCCCGGGGACAACCCCAGACTCACCGGGCGGACGGGGACTGGGACTGGGGCGGGGAAGGGGAGCTGTGCTTCGAAGGAACCCGCAGCGACCGCTACAGCGCAGGAAGCCGACCCGACCGCGGCAGGCCAAGTGGGGAGGGAGGGGTGGATGGGGGGGGAAGTGGAAACGGGTGAGGGTGGTGGCGGTGGGGGGAAAGGAGGGCAACGCGCAGGCGCCAGGGTCCGCCCCTACCTCTACGGACGCCGGGAAATGGAGTCCCGCCGGGAGGCAGACAAGGAGGAGACAGGGGGACGGGCGAACTACCAATCCCAGGAGTCCCCGCGCGCGCGACTCCGGGGGTCGCGAGGCCCTAGCGGAAGCCGCCTGGGGGTGGGGGGGCGGGGCGAGCCGCGCCTCCGCCGGAAGCGGAAGCCAAGTGCCGCAGCCGTCGCGACCCGGGAAGCCTGGGAAATATAGTCCTAGGCGCTTTCGGCTCGCTGGGCCGTCGGGCCGGCGCCCGCCGCGCGCCCTCCGCGTTCCGCTCCGGTCGTCCCTGCCGCCCCGGGGGACCGACACCGTTCCCAGGCCAAGCGGCCGGACCCTGGAGGCGTGGCTGGGAGGTGCGGCGGCGCCGAAGTCGGGTGGGCTTGGGGCAGCGCGGCCAGAGAGCCTGCCGGGCCGCCCTGCGCGCTAACCTGCGGTGGCGCCCGCCGCTCTGCCGCTCGTCCCCTTGCACTTCTCCATCTCCTCGGGGGGGCTTGGCTGGCCGCGCTCTCGCTGCGGGCCCCGAGTGCGCCCTTGGAACCCCTTGCTCGGTGGAGGAGTGCGAGGAGGGGGCGCCGTGCAGTTATCTCATCGCCCAGCCCCTCGGCGTTCCACCGGGCTCCCCCTGTGTCCTCCCTCGGCGCAGAGCGGGGCCTCCCGGCTCCAGAGAGGGAGCTCGGAGCGGGAGGGACCACGTCGAGGGCGGCGAAGAGCATTGTGGGGGGCGTTATGGAAAAGTAGGACCCTCAACCGACAGGTCCCCCTGGGTCCTCGCGCTATCTGGGCGCACGCGAGGCCTGACGCCGGCGGATGCCGGGAAGGGTTCCAGCGCGGGAAACCGAACCTTGTGGGTGTTTTGTTGTTGTTGTTGTTGTTTGCTGCAGCTGCTGCGCATGCGTCCTCCTGCCGTGTGGGTATTTGAAGCTGTCAACTCCTGCAGGTTACGAGAGCTCCACTTTTCGGTACCGAAGTGACAGTGCAACAGTCCCCCCCCAACCATCCGGAATAATGTTTTTCTTTGGGAAAAGAAGACACACACACACACACACACACACACACACACACACACACACACCTAAATAAGACCGAGCAAGATGTAAAAGGCCGAGCAGATATTTCCTAACGGTACGTGTTGCAGGATGGGAAAATGTTTTTTTTTTTTTGTTTTGTTTGGTTTTTACGAGACAGGGTTTCACTGTATTATTTTGGAGGCTATCCGTCCAGCCCAGCCTCGAACTCACAGAGATCCGCCTGCCTCTGCCTCCCGAGTGCTGGGATTAAAGGTGTGCGACACCACCGCCGGGCTGGGAAAGTGTTTTCAAGACAGAGCCTGACATTTTTTTGTTTGAAGGGAGATGGGAGTAGAACGCAGGACCCCTTAGACAGCTGTCTGGTAGAACGTTTTCTCCTACTATAATTTTTTTTCCCTATATTAGAGATAGAACCCATACTCGAGGCAAGCATTCTTTTTTATTTTTTTTCTGGTTTTTCTAGTTTCTCTGTGGCTTTGGAGGCTGTCCTGGAACTCGCTCTTGTAGACCAGGCTGGTCTGGACCTCACAGAGATCCGCCTGCCTCTGCCTCCCAAGTACTGAGATTAAAGGCGTGCTCCACCAAGGCCCGGCTTCTTTTTTAGATCTCGGCTGCTCTCTCCTCCCAGCATGCCCTGGGGGTGGCGCTGGTCGTCACGTCGGCTACGTGAAGTGTTGGAGCGCTCGTCACAGTCTTTCCTTACCCTTGCCTGCTTTTCTCGTTTCCCCCAAAGCCATGTCCAGGCCATCCCTCATCGCGTTTACTCCAGCCACCGACTCCAGCGACCTCTGGAAGGATGGGCAGCAGCAACCACAGCCTGAGGAGCCAGAGCCCGTCCTGGATGGGGCCGCAGCCCGGGCTTTCTACGAGGCTCTAATTGCAGATGAGAGTAGCTCCTCTAAGTCCCAGGGAGCTGGCCCCGTCAGGGGACAGAAGAGGAAGAAAAGAGTGACGAGGGAGGCTGCGGCAGTGGTCCCAGGGACCTCCGGGCAAGGAAGGGCGCCGGAGGATGATGACAGGATGACCCAGTGGATCCTGCTGGCAGCCCAGAACGGGGACCTGACAGAACTTCGAAGGCTGCTGGAGCCCCGAGAGGCAGGGGGAGCTGGCGGGAACATCAACGCGCGCGATGCCTTCTGGTGGACTCCCCTGATGTGCGCGGCCAGAGCAGGCCAGGCGGCCGCCGTGCACTATCTCCTGGCCCGGGGCGCCGCCTGGGTAGGAGTCTGTGAGCCGGGAGGCAGGGATGCCGCTCAGCTGGCAGAAGAAGCCGGCTTCCCTGAGGTGGCCCGCATGGTCAGAGAGAGCCGTGGAGAGACAAGGAGCCCCGAGAACCAGAGCCGGTGAGGAGGGAGCCTTAGCTCACACCCCCCTGTGTGGACACCCCACGCCAGGAGGTGTAGTTAGTTCAGTCACGCCACAGAGCAACAATGGACAGGGCCTTTGCGCATCTAAATCTTGGTTAGGTTTAATGTCTGTATCCTCTCCTTGTCTGAGAATTGGGGATGAGCACCTGTGTCAGAGACCTTAAGATGCAGTAGGTTATCTGGGCGTTGGTGGCGCATGCCTTTAATCCCAGCACTCGGGAGGCAGAGGCAGGCGGATCTCTGTGAGTTCGATGCCAGGCTGGACCGACAGCCTCCAAAACAATACAGAGAAACCCTGTCTCGTAAAAACCAAAAAAAAAAAAAAAAAAGATGCAGTAGGTTAGTGTGCAAAGCGGTGGCTGTCACACTGTGTGCATTTCATAAGTGGTGGAGCGGTGACTGTCACAGTGTGCACTTCATAAGCATCAGCTCTGCTCATCATTCCTAAGAGCTGACGGCCACCTCACGGCATCCCCAATCGTCCCTCTGCGCAGATGGAGAGGGGCTGGTGCAGCTCGGCAGTGGGGCACTTGGCTAACCCTGGGAGGACTCTGGGGCGCCTGTCCGAGGCAGGGTAAAACAAAAGGACGATGCTAAAACCAGAAGAAGACAGGATGGGTGCCGCCCGCACAGCGAGGCTCCTGTTGTCTCCTCCCCTCCTCTAACTTCTCTTTCTCTGCAGGTCCCCCCCCTCCGCCTCCCAGTTCTGCGAGGACTGTGGTGCCCACTTTGAAGACCTCAACCACCGCACATCTACCGCTCACCTGCTGTCACTGTCTAGGAGTCCCCGGCCCTCCAACCTTCCCCTTGGGGTGCCCACCTCCAGTCCTGGCTTCAGGCTGCTGTTGAGGGGTGGCTGGGAACCAGGAATGGGGCTAGGACCCCGGGGTGAAGGCCGTGCCAACCCTATTCCCACTATCCTCAAGAGGGACCAGGAAGGACTGGGCTACAGATCTGCACCCCAGCCCCGAGTCACGCATTTCCCAGCTCGGGACACGCGGGCTGTGTCTGGGAAAGAAAGAGTACCTCGAGTCGCCACACTCAGTCAGAGGGAGAACAGAAAGAGAGAAGAGAAGGACAGAGCCTGGGAGCGAAACCTAAGACTGTACATGAACCTTGAATTATGACAGGTGCGGGCTGGCCTGTTGTTCCCGGATGGACTTGGACCCCTGACATGGGCACTTGAACTTGTACTTCCTGGGATCCGCCCAGATGCCAGACCCTCAGGTTTGGGCTCTGCTTTTAGAGAGAAGGGCTGAGAGTTGAGAGAGAAATAAACTTCACTGTGGTTTGTTTACTTTCTTGCATGACATTGTATTGCACTGGAGAAAATCTGAGTCACATGGAAGCCTCACCCAAGCCAAAAGGGCAAGCTCTGCAGGTGACAGAGGATCCCTAGCCTTGCTGGCTGCGTATATCTGTTCTTTGAAGCCCTCCTGAACTAGGAACTGCCCAGCTCTGTGAAAGACTCTCTTCTCAATTGATCTCTGGGCCAATCCAGTCAATTCAGTGATATATGCCACGAACCGAGTTTACCATATGTTGAAAACAAACCCTCAGGTTCTGAACTCCTCGAGGAGGCCAGTTGTGACTAAATGTGACAGAAGCCGAGTCCCGCAGGGAATGGTCTACCATTATCCAACCTGTGTGACTTCCTAGCTAGGACCTGAGCTCTGACCTCCCAAAGTTTAAGATGATCTTTTCTTTTGTTTTGAGACAGTCTCAATTTGTTGGCCTCAAACGTGCTATGTAGATCCAGGTAGCTCTGGAATGCCAAAATTGAAGGTGTGAACCTCCACAGCCGGTTTTGCAGTGTAGTGGATGTAACTTAGGCCTTCATACCTGCTATGCAAGCTCAGGTATGAGTTACATCCTTAGTCCTAACGCAGACAGCCTAAGACCCCATTTCACTCTCTGAAAACAGGCAGCACGTTTTTCTACATTTTTATGTCCTACTGGGCACCCACATCCACTTGGAATGCTCACACCAAGCGCTAGGAACATGAAAACTTTCAAATCCCGGTCAGGAAGGGCAAAGGGCAGCTGCTTAAGTCACGTCACGTGGCTCCCGATAGTTACCTTTCTGGACCAGCATTACGTGATGTCGCAGGTGGGAAACGAGGAATGGCGGGGGTGTATGCAAAAAGACCGTGGGGAAGCCGAGGCAAAGGACCAATTCAAAGCCAGCCTGGGCTATCTACGCCCAGGCCTTTCCTGAGCTACATGTATAGGGATACTCTTTGTCTTTTAAAGCAAAAAAAAAAAAAAAAAAATCCCCAACAAAAGCCGAGGACGGAAGCACCGAGTGAGAGGCGGGCGGCGAAGCGCAGACCTGGGCTTGGATTCAGGTTCTGGCTTAGCTGATGCGCTCTCTACGCCTGCGCTAGTGCATCGCGGGGGCGACGGGGGAGGTCGTTCTGCCGGGTCCGCCTCACTTGCTGCTCCGCCCCCGCCGGTCCCTCCCGACCCGGCACAGCTGCTTCCGGGCTCGCACGGCTCCTGGAGGCCGCTCCCCGGACGCTGGGCCCCGGAGCTGCCCGCAGCGCAAAGCGCCCAGACCCTGGGTCCCCAGGTTAGGCCGGCACCGTGTCTCGGGGCTGCCATCTCCAAGGACATCTCTGCTGTGACCTTGCGGGAGCCGCGTCTCAGCGGCGCCCTCGCGGGACAGCGGGGCCACTTGGTGGAGCCGTAGCCTCCTAAGTTAAGGAATGTGTGCAACTGGCTGGAGTTCCCCGGACCTTCCATCCCGCCTTCCCCTCACCCGGGACTTCCTGTTCCCTGAGCTCCCCTGAGCGGAGGGTTAGAGGCTCCTCAGATTCAGGGCCCGAGGACTCTGGGCCACCTTCCTTCCGGCTCCGATGGAGCACCACCTCCCCCCTTTTTTGGGGCACCTTGGGGTGTGGCCTTGGTGAGTGAAACTTAGGGTGCCGACTGCTTGGGAAGGAAATCTGAAAACACAGAGCATTTGTGGGGTGACCCCGGCCTTATAAGGCCCTTGATGTCTTGTGTGTGCGTGGGGTGGCAGATGGATTTCTTCTCCCCTAAACTGACAAGGAAGCGGGCCATTTACCGCACTTGGGGCTACGTGAGCTCTCTCTGAATTCGGAGGAGGACATCACCCAACAGATATCTCTTCCGAAGCGGAGCCGATTCCGGCCAGGAAGCGGTCGCAGATTTGGAGGGGCTCGTTACACAGTTCAGTCATGTTCCTGCGAAGGCTTGGTGGCTGGCTACCTCGACCTTGGGGCCGCAGGAAGTCAACAAAGGCTGAATTGCCTGCCCCAGAAACCAGATGGGCGGACAGCTCTCCCGAGAATTCAGGCAGCGACTGGGACAGTGCCCCGGAGACAATGGGAGATGCAGGGCCTCCTAAGAACAAGGATTCGGGGAAACTGAGGACCCCTGGGGCTGCTCCGGGGATGAGCAGGGAGGACCAAGCGGACCATGCGGGGAGCAAAAGAAAGGATTCCCTCAAGAGGAACAAGACTGTCTCTAGCGCTCAGGAGCCTGCAAGACTGGAGACTGGAGACACCATTCCCAAACTGGATTCAGGTGGCATGAAGAACCTTGGAGGGTCCCCCCAAGGGGGACTAGGCACCACTGGACCAGAAGCCCTGTCGGAGAAACCTGGTCGCCGTCAGAAGTTGCTGTGCTGGCTTCGGGGGGACCCGGGGGCCCCCTCAGGTTATCTGCGGGACCCAGAGGAGTACCTGCAGATCTCTACCAACCTGACCCTGCACCTGCTGGAGCTACTAGCCTCGGCCCTGCTGGCTCTGTGCTCCAGGCCACTGCGCGCTGTCTTGGACGCTCTGGGCCTCCGAGGACCCGTGGGCCTCTGGCTGCATGGGCTGCTGTGTTTCCTGGCGGCCCTCCATGGACTCCATGCTGTGCTGAGCCTGCTCACCGCCCACCCCCTGCATTTTGCCTGCCTCTTTGGCCTCCTGCAGGCCCTGGTGCTGGCTGTCAGCCTCCGGGAACCTAGCGAGGATGAGGAGCCTGCTGACTGGGAGAGCGAGGGCCAGGGGAGGGAGGTGGAGGAGCCGAGGGAAAGTCCAGGGAGGGTACTGTGACTGGGTGAGGGTTGGGCGCAGGGTGCTGGATAGTGGAATGGCCTCTAGGAGGAAGGTGGGGAGACCCAGATCTCAGCACAGTGACCTCAGGGATGGGGAGGAGACTCAGGAGCATGAAGGCACAGGAGCCCTGTCCTATGAGTGGCCCATGGCCAGGGCTGTCCCGTAATGGACAATGGGGCCTCAGCGTTTGAATCACCAGCTGTTGTTATTTCTTCCTTTTAGATTTTCACCTTTTGTTTTTTTAATTACCACCTCCAATCTCCCCCCACCTCCACTTTTTAAGAGCAAAATAAAAGAAAGTAAAAGTCACAGTGGGGAATGAAGGCCAAGGGGTCCTTTCCAGCCCCGGGGTGGATGACCCGGAGATCCATGCAGTCCCTTGGATCCTAGGACCCACGGGAGCCATCTAAGGAGAGTGGGGCTGTGAGGTAGGAGGAACAGGGATTCTAGAAGGGACTGCAGGTGTTGTGGTACCCCCCCCCGCCCCCCGCCCCCCCCCCTGGGGAGGGTCTGGTATTCAGTAGGATCCAGAAGAGACAGGGATGGTGCAGGCCTTATTGGCGTGAGGCCTGGTTCATAACGGCTTTGACGGGTGACACAGCGCCTGTCACTGGGCAATAAATGTGCTACACTAAACCCTAAATACACCAGTACAATGTGAGAAGTGCTGCCTGCGGTCCTTCCTGATGGCAAACAGTGGGGGGGGGGCGTCAAAATGGGGAATTGACTTTGACGCTGCAGATGAAACCCAGGACGTGAGGATTGAAAAACCATCTTTATTATCCTTGGGAGGGGTGGAGGGTCTCCAGCGTCTCCCCAGCAGCTCAGTCTAGGACATGGGTGAAGTCAGGGTCACTTGCTGGACAGCTGGCAGGCGTCTGTGCCGGGAGGAGGGAGAGGAGGTCCAGTTAGTGGTAATGGAGCAGGGGTTAGAGACCATTCTCTTTCCTCCCTTTAGTCTCCTAAAGCAGTGGTTCTCAACCTGTGGCTGTGGCCCTTTTGGAGGGGGGTGAATGACCGTGTCACAGGTCGAATATCAGATACCCTGCATATCAAATATTTACATTATGATTCACAACAGTAGCAACATTACAGTTATGAAGGAGCAACAGAAATACTTCTGTGGCTGGGGTCATGTTAGGAAGGTTGAGAACCACTGCTCTAAAGACTCAGAAACCTATCTCTTTTTTTTTTTTGGTTTCTCGAGACAGTGTTTCTCTGTATTGTTTTGGAGGCTGTCCTGGAACTCACTTGGTAGACCAGGCTGGCCTTGAACTCACAGAGATCCTCCTGCCTTGCAGGGCGTTGGTGGCACACGCCTTTAATCCCAGCACTCGGGAGGCAGAGGCAGGCGGATCTCAGTGAGTTCAAGGTCAGCCTGGTCTACAAAGTGAGTTCCAGGACAACCTCCAAAGCCACAGAGAAACTCTGTCTCGAAAAACCAAAAAAAAAAAAAAAAAAAGAAAGAAAAGAAAAAAAGAGATCCTCCTGCCTCTGCCTCCTGAGTGCTGGGTTTAAAGGTGTACGCCACCAATGCCTGGCTGAAACCTATCTTTTTCCTCTTTTTTTTTTTTTTTTTTTTTTTGGTTTTTCGAGACAGGGTTTCTCTGTATTGTCTTGGAGGCTGTCCTGGAACTCACTTGGTAGACCAGGCTGGCCTCGAAGTCACAGAGATCCACCTGCCTCTGCCTCCCGAGTGCTGGGATTAAAGGCGTGCACCACCAACGCCCGGCTATCTTTTTCCTCTTTTTACTTTTGGGAGACAGACTCACTACATAGCCCTGGCTGTCCTGAAACACTGTGTGGACCAGGTTTATTCTGCCTCTGCCACCTGGGTGCTGAGATTATGGGCGTGTGCCTCCACTCCTAACCAAAAGCCTCTTTTTTAAAAAGAAAATGATTTGTCTTATTATGTGAGCGCTCTGCCTGCATGTACACCTTCACGCCAGAGGGGGGCATCGCATCCCACCACAGATGGCTGTGAGCCACCGTGTGGTTGCCGGGAATTGAACTCAGGACCTCTGGAAGAGTGGTCAGTGCTCTTGCTCTTAACCTCTGAGCCGTCGCTCTCCCCTCCACCTCAGAAAAGCCTCTTTCTAGTCACCCGGAGCTATGCTTGGTGAAGCCACAGCTCTTAGCCAAGTTCTGGTGCCGCTGTAGCCTGTGAGAATTAGCGGGACCAGTGTCCCCCCCCATCCTGAGGGCGCCCGCCTTTGGCCACGGCCTCTGCTGTCGCTGCACTGAGCTAGCTCTACAATCACCACACAAGACTTGGGAGACTGCAACCCCTCACCTTCGTTCCTGGGAGTCACTAGGAAGGCTTTGAAGTCCAAGCAGGAGGTCAGAGCCTGGAAGTCCTCCACACACTTCTCTGGAGGGTGTGGAGATCGATCTGGAAGGACAGGGAGCAGCCAGGCGGGTCAGCATTCCTGCCTCTCAGCCCTGCCTCCCCTCCCTGTTCCCAAAGGGCCTGGTGAAGATGCCCATCCCGCCCTGGAAGGGACGCCCCTTAACCTTCCGGCTTCCCTCGGCCTGCCTGGTACCCCCACTCACTGTAGAGGAGGAAGCGCTGGTAACCCCGGCCCGTCTCTTTGAGCATGATTCCTCCTGGGCACGAGCTGGAGAAGAGGTCTGTTTCCATGTCGGGGCGGCCTGGCGGGGTTGGGAGAGGAGCACAAGCTGAGTCAGGCCCGGTGGCTAGTGCGCCGCCCTGATCCCAGCTGCTCCGCAAGCCGAGGCAGGAGGATTTCACATTCACGGCCGCCGGGGCTACAGGGTGAGCTCAACCACTGTCGTGGTAAGGCTAGGAGGGGCCTGGGGGTGCAGTTCAGTGCAGGCGGCCCTAGGTTCGATCCTCACTTCCGAGGAGATGGGGAGGGCGGCGAGCTGGTGGGAACCCACCTTCAGTTCTGAGGCCTCTGCTACCTTTCCCTTCAGTCAAGTGGTATGTCCATTTCCGGGGCACACAGATCCCGTTTTTCCTGCAGAGGCGGTGGTTGGTAGCCAGGAAGAAAGATGGGAGTGTCACTCCAAGCGCAACTACACAACCTTCTATGTTTTCCCTCTCTTTCCCGCCCGGCCCAGCTCTCAGGGTTTCCAGCCTGGCCTGTCATCTGCAGAACGAACGTGACTCGTAGGCTGTTGAGCTCAGCGGGCAAGGGGTGATGGATGGGGAGCTCGACTCGGGGGTGGGGTGGGGGAGATGGCGGTGATCACGGTTTGGGCAGAGAGCACACCGGGTGGTGCCTCCGCGTCCTCGCCGCTGCCACTCACATGCGGATGGCTGCCCCAAGCTGGAGCTGCCTTGGGGCGGAGCCGGAAGCCATGTTGAAGACGATGTTGTCCACCGGGTCGAAGGTAGCCAGCTCTTCCTTGGTGGGGGCCGCCCCTGCGATGAAGTACCACAGGCCCAGGTGGGGCTCTGGGGACTGGAAAGGCGGTGGAAAGGAGCAAGGGGGTTGAGTTAGCAGGACAGAGCTCAGGCGGCCTTCCCATCGGGAGGACCAACCTCCAGGGCTGCGGGTTCGGGTGGGGCCCTGCCAGCTTGCAGCAGGGGGCCGCCGGCGACTTCCTACCTCGGGCCTTCTTTCTGTTCATCCTCTTCCTCCCATCCTCTCCCCTGCTTTCTGGTCCCCTTGAGCTACCCCACCCAGGACTTTTCGGCTCCCCACGGGCTTTCTTCCCCTTGCCTCGCTCGGCACTCACCTCCCTCTCACCCATGTCCAGCGCCGTTAGTGGACCGTGCTCGGGGCACTGGTTCACCGAGCTGAAGAGAAGGCCATACAGGTAGAGCACAGCTGCCCAGACTTGGTGGAACATGTCCGGCTGGATCCGGCTGGTGCTCCGCAGCAGGCGAGGGGACTGGTGCCTTGACCCTTCTCTGCTGGCCGCGCAGTCCACTCTCTGCTTTCAGCCCCCTCTTGCCTCGACCCTTGACCCTGTCACCTGCTAATAAGTAACTTCAGCCTTGTTTTCCAACCCAAGCCTGGATTAGCTACAGCGCTGGGCCCGTCCCCCCCTTCCGTATTCAGCCCCTCTGCAGTAGACCCTGGCATGTGCGGTGACCCCGAGGCATCAGGAGAGCTGGGCCACTACAGTCGACGTGTACAGTCTTCCAACCTGTATCAGCGCTGGAGCTCTGCGGGGCTGGGAGGCACTGAGGGCAAGTGACTGGGTCCGTCTTTCATTCATTCATTTGGCCAATTTAGGGATTTCAGTTGTTTGCCAGGAACTGGCTAATCCCAGGGGACTTTTTTTTAAGAAATGGAAAAACAGCTTTACAAACAAATCCTTGCAAGACAAGCTGATAAGTGTTAGAACGGGCGCCAGCCAGTTGCTGGGGCACGGTGGGTTCCTCTTTCCTTTTTTTCAAAACAGGGTCTCACTATGTAGCTCTGGTTGTCCTGGAACTCCCTCTGTAGACCAGGTTGGACTCGCAGAGACCTGTTTGCCTCTGCCTCCCGAGTGCTGGTGCTAAAGGCGTGTACCACCACTGCTGGGCTAGGGTAGGCACAGTTTTTTGTTTCTGTTTTTGTTTTTTTGCCTCCTCATGCTGGGGATCAAACCTAGAGCTTCAAGCATACCAGGCATGCTCAGTAATAGCAATGATCTACACACCCCCACCTCCTGGGACAATTGTTTTAATACACCCCCCCACCCCCGTCCTGGAATTCACTCTGTAGACCAGGCTGATCTGGAACTCACAGAGATCCGCCTGCTTCTGCCTCCCGAGTGCTGGGATTTGTGGGAACACCAGACCTTGAGCAGAGACCCACTTCCCCTTCTGCCTGGGAGTAGGCAGCTGTAAGACAATGTTTACTAAAAACATGTTTACTAAAAACAATACAATGCCCGGGGGCAATAAGTTCCTGGAAAAGGCCTGCCCACAGAAACCACCCTGACCTCGACCTTATCAAAAGACTAACCGCCTCTTCTGCCACGCCCAGATCAGTTTTTGGTGTCAGAGCAGAACCAGCCAGGGTAGAGGAGAGAGCAGAAGCTTCTCTGGTGGGAGCCTTTCTTAGGAAGTTTTCTTGAACCTTTTTGGGGCCTGCTTAAAGTTTTCTTTACATCGTTGAACAAGTCTCTGTGTTGTCAATCCCCGACACCCTCCGCACGTTCTCGGACACAGGCCTCGCAGCAGACGCGACAGGGATTAAAGGCATGCCACCAACCAACGCCAGGCTGTGTGTGTGTGTGTGTGTGTCTTGTTGCTCTTTTTTCCATCTGTGGGATGGGCAACTTGTCAGTCTCACAGTTAAATGAGATCATGTACACACCAAGTCAGAAGTAAATATCCACTGTCGTTAGTAGCTACAAAGCACCCACTGCAATTGCTGGTAGTGCTTTTTAAGTGGTGGATTGCTATGTTGTCAAGATTTAAATGCAATGTCAAGAGACAGTCACCGGATAGTCTTCGTGTGTGGAGCTGTCAGTGCAATGAGAGGTGGGACTTATTTACATAAACAGTGTCCTCTTCCTAAGTGCCTGTCTGCCTTAAGGCTCAGAGGCTAACAGCACTGGCTGCTCTTCCAGAGGTCCTGAGTTCAATTCCCAGCAACCATATGGTGGCTCACAACTACTTATAATGAGATCTGGTGCCCTCTTCTGGCCTGCAGGCATGCATGCAGACAGAGCACTACATACCTAACAAATAAATAAATAAATAGTTCCAGGAGAACCTCCAAAGCCACAGAGAAACCCTGTTTGGAAAATCCAAATTAAAAAAAAGGCTCATGATTAAATATCCAAATATCCATAGAAATAAATCACACCTTTTCTCTATTTTTTAACGTTTCACTTCTATTTTTTAAGATTTATTTATTATGTACACAAAAAAGAAAAAACAAAACAAGAAACCCATGGCCGATGATAGGCTTGACCCTTTTATTGGAGTGGTGCTCAAGACTTCCGTGTGGAGCAACGGATCAAGCCTGACCTTGGGCTTGCCCGGCAAGTGCCCTACCACTCCAGCCCTTGAAATGTTGTAACCCTAAAATGTGTGTCTAGGGAAATGGCTCAGCAGGTGAGGGCCTGACCGACCCCCAGGTCCCCACGGTGGGAAGAGGACACCGGTATGTTTCTCCACACTTAGGCTGCTGTGGAAGATGCAAGGCACACACAGCCCACCCCCCACCCAAAATGTCGAAAAGATTATTTAATCCCAGCATTTAGGAGATAGAGGTGGGTGGATCTCTCTGAGTTCCAGGACAGCCAGATCTACATAGTGAAAACGGTGTCTCAGAGAAAGAATAAAAAATGTAGCCTGGGATTGTCTGGCAGGGTGCCACGCGACTTAAATCGCAGCCCTGGGCAGTGGCGTGGAACATTAGGAGCTCCAGGCAAATCAGGGCGACGCAGTGAGACTGTGTGCGAAAGTCCAGCCATTCAGGCTGGGACAAAGTAAGTGCTCACTCAACAATGCTCACTGGAACTGTCCTCAGGACCGACCCCTGGGGAGAAAGGGGGGAGGCGGCAGAGAAACTGTAACCTGTGCAAACTCTCTTTGTGGCGAGCGCCTTCGGTCCCTACTCCTGTCTGGGCGCCCGCTTTTGTGTTTGGTTTGGTTTTTGAGACAGGGTTTCTCTGTATTGTTCTGGAGCCCGTCCTGGAACTCGCTCTGTAGACCAGGCTGGCCTGGAACTCACAGAGATCCGCCTGCCTCTGCCTCCTCCCGAGGGCTGGGATTAAAAGCGTGCGCCACCAACGCCAGGGCTATGAAGTTTCAAAACGCTGAAGTTGTCTTAAAAGCATGGAGCCCCCCCCCCTCGGGCGCTCCCGAGCAACGACCTGCATGAGACCACCCCCACCAGAGTCTGCAAAAACGGCGCAACCGCCCTGATCCGGCTGGGAGGGGGGGCGAGCAGACACAGCCCACGGAACGTCCCCAACCGTCCAGGGGAGGAGGGGGGGAGAGAGAGTGGCTTCCGGAAGCGCGGGCAGCACGGGAGGACCAGGGGCCCTGCCGAGCGTGAGGTGGCCAGGGGAGACGCCTGTCCGTTTCCTCCGCCCGCCAAACAGGGACGCGGCCGCACGGGGCGCAACCCCCGCAGGCCCCCACGCAGGCGTCCGCGGCGCCTCTGCAGCCAGGGGCCGGCCCTCCCCCTCCCCTCCCCACCCGCCCTCCCCCCGCGCCCGCTCAGCGGACGTTTGCTTCAGGCGTTACGGCAGCCACCTCGGCCGTGCGGCGCTCCGGGCGGGGCGCGCGCCGGGGCAGAAACCGCACAGCGCCCGAGGCGAGCGAGAGCGGGCGGGCGGGGGGAGAGTGTGCGCACGCGCCGGGAGTGCGCGCGCGCAGGCGCAGTGCGGTCCCCCGGGCGACGGCGGCGGTGGCGGCGGCTCCTCCGGGGTGGTCGGCTCCCTCCCATCTAAGGCCGGCCCCGGCCCGTGTCGCCCCCTAGGAACTCACTGTCTGTGGGGGCTGTGGACTTCCTCATCCGGCCCCGCACAAGCGGACTGGGGAGACGGAGGGGGTGGGGGAAGGGGGAAGCCTGGGGAAGCCGGAAGTGCCGCCTCGAGACCCCCCAAATACGATCGGGAAACGGAAGTGGCCTCTGGGGCCCGGTTGGGGGAGACCGGAAGTGACGGTACGGAGTGGTGGGGGAAGCCGGGGTGGGGGGGCGGAGCCCGCGGGGCGGTGGGCTGTGCGGGTGCCTTGTGCGTGCGCGCCTGTGTGTGTGTGTGTGTGTTGTTGTTGTGCGCGCGCGTGTGCGTGCGTGTGTGCGTGTGTGTGTATGTGACTGGCCGCGTGTCGGCTCAGCCGCGTCGCTGGAGCGCCGACGGAAGCGGAGGCGGAAGGAGGGGCGGCCAGCGAGCCGGTCGGGGCTCCCGTGAGTGTCCGGGGCGTCTGTGGTGAATTGGTTTTTTTTTTCCTTTCCTCCCCCCACCCCGGCCGGGTTCGGCGGGGCCGGCGCGCGTGCGCGGAGCCGCTGTCTCCCCCGCCGGAGGCCAGCGCGACCCCTCCCCTCCCCCACCGCCTCCCACCCTCGCGTTGTCCCGGGCTGGCCGCCCCGATCCCCCCGGCGGGCGCCGGTGCCCGCTCGGCCGCGACCGGTGATGACAACTGCCCCCCGGCCCCCCGGGTCGGTCTCGCGCCCGCCGCCCGGACCCCCCCCCCCGCCGGCCCAACCGGCTCTCCCTCGGGTGTGATTGGCACTGCCGAGCCCCTCCCACCTCCCCGTCCTTCGCCTCCCTATGCCGCCGGCCGCCTCCTGCCCTTTGTGTTTCTCCTCCTGCGCCTCCTCCCCGGATCAAAAAAATAAAACGGGGCGATGAGGGCGCGCGTGAACCTCTGCGTTCGTGTATGAGAAACTTTTCCTTTCCTTTTTTTTCCTACGGGGATCGGGGCGGGGGCCGGGCCCCCCACACACCTCCCCCCGGCCGGTCTTCCGGGTGTGGAAAAGGCAGGGCGAGCGGGCGACGGCCAACCACTCCTCCCCCGCCCTTCTCTGCTTTTCCCTCAGAGAGCTGTCGGCCATGGAGCCGAGCGATAGTGCCAGCGCCGCTATGGAGGAGCCCGACAGCCTGGAGGTCCTGGTGAAGACCCTGGACTCCCAGACTCGGACTTTCATTGTGGGGGCCCAGGTGAGGCCGCGGCTTCGTTTCTATAAACATAATTTATGTATATGTACGCGCGCGCGCGCACACACACACACACACACACACACACACACACACACACACACGCACGCACTCATGCACCCCGGTCGCTCGCGCGCCTTCTGAGGGACGATCCCGGCTCTCTTGTCCTCCACGCCTTTGTCCCTTCCTCGGTAGAGCACCTCCTGTTCTTGTTGAGTGAGGAGGTGTGGTTCCTCTAGTCCCGCCCGCCTCCCCCTTGGCGGACCTAGGTGGCGAGGGAAACAGAGGAGGAATCTGTCCCTGTCCTGGGCCGACCTCAGCCCAAAGGGACACGGATGACTCCGGCCGTTGGGACCGGAAGCAGCACAGGGACCTCAGACAAGTGTGCTGTGTTTGCTCTATTTTTGAACAACTCGTTCTCGGGCTTACGCCGTATTTATAGATTCCGGGAGCCTAGTATCTGAGGCATGGTTTGAACCCCTGGCACTCACAGCGTGCAGTGTGAGCACAGTTACCTTTGCCGTTACTGCGAAAGTCTTTTCGGGAACAGATCATGAGCCGGTCGTTAGCTGTGGTTTCTAAAACATTGGGAACGTTGCGTACACTTTTGTGAGTAGGTGTCTGTGGCCCTTACCAAGAGTTAGGTGTCTAGTTGGGAAGATTCTTTTTGGGGGTGGCGGGGACAACGGTATCTCCTAGAGCTCAGGCTGCCTTTGACCCTCTGAGTTCCATTGTCTGCTAGGCTCTTAGGTGTAGCATGCCTGACTTGTTGTGGGTTGTTTTGTTTAGCTTTTCCCCAACAGGGCTTCTCTGTGTAGCCCTGCCTGTCCTGGACCTCACTCTGAGGACCAGGCAGGCTTCAAACTCAGAGATCCGCCTACCTCTGCCTCCCGAGTGCTGGGGTTAAAGGTGTGCACCACCACTGCCCGGCTGAGGTAGGGTTTTATATGTCTTAGAACTGATGGTCTTAGTTTTGTGATCCTCCTGTCTGTGTGCTCCAAATTTGGGTTCTCGGGTGTGTGTTACCACACTGGTTTGCTTGCGTTCTTCATTTCCCCCTTCTCTTATTTTGGGGGTTCCTGCAGGGTGTTGAACCTAGGACCTAGCGCAGAGCACCCACCACTGAGCTGCAGATAGTCTTGTGCCCCCTTCTTTCTTCTTCAGGCTTCTTTTCAGACCCTGCTTTCCTCCCAGTGTTTCTTGCCATTGGTGGAGAAGGTTGTTTGGGGGTGCGTGTGTCAGGGGTGTCGTTCCCCCCAGCTTTGGAACTCACTTTGCAGAGCAGTCTGACCTACAATTCACAGAGAGTACTAACATTAAAAGTGTTCACCACCGCTTGGCTTCAATTCTTTTTTAAGATTTTATTCATTTTTATTTTATTTTGTTTTGGTTTTTTGAGACACGGTTTCACTGTACTCACTGTGTAGCGCGTGCTATCTTGGAGCTTACTATGTGGACCATGTTGGCCTCAAACTCACAGAGATCCGCCTGCATCTGCCTCCCAAGTGCTGGGAGTAAAGGCGAGTGCTGTCCAGCCTGTGAGTGTCTTGTCTGCAGGTGTGTATGTGTACCGTATGTGCAGTTGGTACCCAAGAAGAGGGCGTCAGGTCCTGTAACCTGTGGCATCTTCTGGTTGTTGTGGGAGTTAGGAAATGGCAGCGCCTACTCCGTTATGTGTTGATGGTGAGGAATTAAATGAGTTCTTAACTCAGACATCTCTGTAGACCTCGTTTTGTGTTGTATGTCAGGGTCTCTCAGTGGTCATGCTGGCTTGGTAGTCACAGAGATCCCCCTGCCTCTGTCTCCATGGGTTAGAGGCTTGTGCCACAGTGTCCACCTGTTTGTAGCCCTGAGATTATTACAGCCACGGGCTCCTGTTGTAGTTTTATATTTAGAAAAGGACCGCCAGTCTCTGTGGATACTAAGCCAAGAAGAAGAAAAGCTTTTTTTTCTTGTAAGATTTATTTTTATTTATTTACTGATGTTGTTATGGTTACCCTTTGGATTTATTTATTTATTTATTTATTGAGACAGTCTCTACATAGCTCTGCTGTCCTAGAACTCACAATGTAGACCTCCAACTCACAAGAGATCCATCTGCCTCTGTCTCCCAGTTGCTAGAGGCATATACCACCACTCCTTGGTTATTTTTATTTTTAATTTTGTATAGGTTTGTGTGGGTACAAGTGTTCTTAGAGGTCAGGACACTGAGTCCCTTAGAATTGAATTTATCAGTAGTTGTGAGCTGCTGTCCAGTATCCGTGCTAGAAAATGAACTGAGGTCCTGTGTAAGAACAGAATTAGCTTTTTTGTTTTTGTTTTTCCAGACAGGGTTTCTCTGGTTTTTGGAGGCTGTCCTGGAATTAGCTCTTGTTGACCAGGCTGGTCTCGGACTCACAGAGATCCACCTGCCTCTGCCTCCCGAGTGCTGGGATTAAAGGCGTGGGCACCACCGCCTGGCTTGGCAGTATTAGCTTTTAACACTGAGCCATTTCCCCAGCCTGCCTTTTTGTTTGTTCCTTATTGTTGCCCGTCCACCCCTCATCTCCAGCCTTGTGTACCACCTGTTTTGGGGTGTTTTTGGCTGGGCCACCCACTTTGATTGTGGCCTCACTCAGCATCTGAAGTCTGGCGTCCCTCTTGGTTTTTGCTTTCTTTCACTTTGTGATTCTGATGCGTGACTCTCCTTTCAGATGAATGTAAAGGAGTTTAAGGAGCATATTGCTGCCTCTGTCAGCATCCCTTCTGAGAAACAACGGCTCATCTACCAGGGCCGGGTTCTGCAAGATGATAAGAAGCTCCAGGAATACAGTAAGGGCTGGGAGCCACTTGAGGTGAAGGTTGCTGTCCAGAGGCCATGGTTACCTACTTACAAGTTTTGGTGTGTGTCTCTTTCTCTGCAGATGTTGGGGGAAAGGTTATCCACCTGGTGGAACGGGCTCCTCCTCAGACGCAGCTCCCTTCAGGAGCATCTTCTGGGACAGGGTCGGCTTCAGCTCCTCATGGCGGGGCACCCCTGCCTGGCACTCGGGGGCCTGGGGCCTCTGTTCATGACCGGAATGCCAACAGCTATGTCATGGTTGGAACCTTCAATCTTCCTGTGAGCCTGTGTTTCTCATGGGAGGGTTTTGTTGGGAAGAGTAGCTTTGGTCACGGCAGCTGCAGGGACTTTAGAAGATAGGTGTCCTGGGTGCATGCCTTGAGATGGAAAGGCCTCTGGCCTGTACTGGCCTCCATTTTTTAAGGAAAAGAGGGTAGGGGCTCCAGAAAAGGTTGGAGCATGGAGGCCTTAGTATGCGGCTTCTCCCAGAGCAACTTCCCTTACCCTTTCCCCAGAGTGACGGCTCTGCTGTGGATGTCCACATCAACATGGAGCAGGCCCCAGTTCAGGTAGTGAGGCCTGGGGGGTCAGGGAAGGGGGTCTGGGAGAAGAGAAGGAGGCCATGAGGTGGGGAGGACCTGGGGGGTCAGGGAAGGGGGTCTGGGAGAAGGAGGCCATGAGGTGGGGAGGACCTGGGAGGTCAGGGAAGGGGGTCTGGGAGAAGAGAAGGAGGCCATGAGGTGGGGAGGACCTGGGGGGTCAGGGAAGGGGGTCTGGGAGAAGGAGGCCATGAGGTGGGGAGGACCTGGGAGGTCAGGGAAGGGGGTCTGGGAGAAGAGAAGGAGGCCATGAGGTGGGGAGTGAGGACCTGAGAGGGTCAGGGAAGGGGATCTGGGAGAAGGAGGCCATGAGGTGGGGAGTGAGGACCTGAGAGGGGCAGGGAAATGGGTCTAGGAGAAGAGAAGGAGGCCTTGAGGTGGGGAGGACCTGGCTGAGGAGACTGTGCCGGGGAGCTGGTATAGTGTGCTGTGGGGTTTAGGCTTGTCTCGGGCCTGCGCTGACCGCCCTCCTTATATTGTAGAGTGAGCCCCGGGTGCGGCTGGTGATGGCCCAGCATATGATCAG